CCCCCCCCCCCCCCCCCCCCCCCCACTTTGTTTCACAGGACGTTTTGCACAGCTGCCACGGGCATTGGGCTCTTTAACACAACTTTGTATGCTTCCTGTCACTTCTTTACCATACACTCTGGGGCTTGTACAGTTTTCAGTCTGTTTGTTTCTTGTCTTTGCCCCTTGGACCACCACTTTGTAACCTGTCGCTCGTCTTCAGCCCCCTCCTTCCTCCCCTCTGTCCATCTGTTGCTGAGCCTCCCTGCAGAACTTGAGAAGGGCTGAGGTTAGGCAATATGCTGCGTGGCAGGTCTGAGCCCCGCGTCTAAACCTGTGTTGTTTGTCTCCCCTCAGGTCGACGATGCCATGCTCATGTTCGACAAGACCACAAACAGACACAGAGGTGAGACACACTGACCCGCTCAACCCCTCTGTCCCTTCCCCTTCTCCATTTACCACTCCGCTTCTAACTCTTCCTGGGCGTCTATTGATCCTCCTCCACCCCCCACAAGAGTCTCCTTCCTGTGGGCTGATCTGGAGGAGACAAACGCAGCTAGTCTAATTAGCCAGTCCGTTAATCGGGATCAGGATAAAGCCTCCTTAAGCGCCTCCTCCCCACCCTGGGATTGATCGATTATGACAGCCTACCAGCTTTGCTCTGTCCTTCTGGCCTGGAAGGGAGGGAAGACGGGATGAGTGCAAAGTAGCTGCATTGACAGTGGGGGAGGGGGGCTCATGTGTTAAGCAGCATTACTGCACTAATTGCTGCACTGGTAGCTCTCCTACAGTATAATTCCACTGCAAATTCTAAATATACATATATATATATATATTATTTACACCAACTTGTTTTGTGCTCGTTAGGGTTTGGTTTTGTGACGTTTGAGAACGAGGACGTGGTGGAGAAAGTCTGCGAAATCCACTTCCACGAGATCAACAACAAAATGGTGAGCAGCTTGATCAGCACTCTGATGTCAGCGCGTCGTATCACACACAGACAAGTGACACTGATTTGTCTCTTCTCCGCTCCGAAAGGTGGAGTGTAAGAAAGCTCAGCCCAAGGAGGTGATGTCTCCCACGGGCTCGGCCAGGGGGCGCTCTCGGGTGATGCCCTATGGGATGGACGCCTTCATGCTAGGCATTGGGATGCTGGGTAAGTCAGTGTTGATCTGGACAGGAAGGACGTGCCTGCACACCTGATCATGATGGTTTCTGCTTCTGCATTAAAAGACCCCGCTGCCTTAAAGGTCACATGACGCCTCATGTGGAGACAGCTGCGTGTCATTTTTTATCATAAAACCTGGAATAAATCTAAAAAATACATTAAAAAAACTCATTGTTAAGTTTGATGCCTGCAAGTTAGGCATCCTATATAAGTTTTGATTTATCTAGCAAACAAATTATTTTTACATTTCAGTGAAACTGAGGGATGCACGTGGGTCTTTTGTGTTGTTCAAGCTCAAAAATTGTAGGATTTTTCCGTTCCTGCAACACGACTTAAAAGCATCATCCTCCATAAAACTTTCTTCTTGCATTTTGTTATTGGAGCTTAAGCAAAGACCACTCATCATCATATTTTACTGACTTTTTTTTTTACTTGAGTTTGAATGCGCTTTATTTAAAAAAAAATGTAATTAATGTAAAAACTTTTCAAAGCACACCTTCAGCTACAGTTTGTTTTCCTGTATCTATGACTAGTTTGAGCTCCAGACTGACTGCATCAATGCTGCCACCTACCGTCCAGTCTGAGAAATACTTTCTACAGTTCAGATTTTTAATTGGCAAGCGAAGATAAATTTGTCTCAAAGCGTTGATAAATTGAATTCTTGTGTTTTTATAGGTAACATTTTCCTCTACTGTTGATGTGTAAACATTAAGATGATCAGTCCTGAAAAACTCCAGACCAAAAATGTAAAAAATAAAAAAAACTCTTGTGTAAAAGGCCTCAGTATGAGTGTTCATGTGCTTGTTTCCTCATTTTGAGTAGATACATTTGTTGTAATGCATTTCTGACGTAAATCTTTATTGTTAACGCAAACACCTCCTGTGCATGAATACGTCTCAGTTTTTGGAGTGATTTTACTCTGATTTTGTACCCTGCAGGTTATCCAAGCTTCCAGACTGCCACTTACACCAGCCGGAGCTACGCAGGCATCGCTCCTGGATACACCTATCAGTTCCCTGGTAATCACATCATGCTCACACAGCTGTTCATGCCTTCTTAAATCATATTTTTACCAGAATGAAGGTGTTTATCGAAAGAAAAATACTAGGTGCTTGGGAAAACTGTCATTTATATAAAAAAAAATCATTGTTGGTTTCTTAAAAACAACCAAACACTGAGTCTAAAATCATTATTGTTTCCATTATAGACAATGAAGGTTTACACAAGAAGAGAAATATGTATGTCTTTAAATAAAAGTCTGCTATGATATACAGCCACTCACTCCTGTAGTTTCATGTGTGGGGTTTTACACAGATGACAAAGAATTTGTGTACATTTTATAAATAACTGCCTTATTGTGGGCATTATATGCTGTAGTAATAATAATAATAATAATAATAATAACCACTTGTTGTGGACACTTAACCTTGGCATTTACGAAATTAGAAATCTTGTGATTTGACTAATACAATAAGTTTATATAATTATATATAAGTTTATATATTATATATATGTGTGTGTATATGTATATATGTAATATATAAGAAGAAACAAAAGCAAGGTAAAAGCAGCTAATTTATCAAAATCATCAAGTAAAACCTTCACCCCATAAAACTTATTTTTCCTACAGTTTCCCATGTTGCTGTTAAAGACATGCCAATTTCTCTCAGATTATTTCATATCATTGCATTTCACAACTAATTTATTAGTTTTAAATGTATAAGCTGTGGACTGACTCACTTATGTATCCAGTAATATCCAAGAAAAGTCAGTTATACATTATCTGATTGAGGACAGATTCATCAAATAGCAGGTGAAATTCAGAAAGCATATATGGTTTTAGCATCTATAACTACATGTAAAGCATTTTGTTTCACACAAAGAAAACCATGTGTAAAACAAAATGGCTGCTGTAAGTCCATTGTGCACACCGTAAGTGTTCTATGTGCAAATCTAATGAGTTTTAAAGTTAAAATATGACAAAATAATTGACAGAATAAAAATTTGAGCATCAAATCGCTGTTGTTGGGAGCTAACAAACCTTGAATTGTATCTACAGATACATAAACAGTAAAGAAGTGGACATGAGGTTGGGTGTGTTTGTCCCCACCTGCACTGCTGTTGTGTTTTCCAGAGGGACTTCAGGGTTCTGGATGATCCACACACAATGGGTTTAGTGTCTAAAATCAGAGCTGTTTCCATTTCTGCTCATCATAAACCAACATTAAACACATCAGGCCACTTCATTTAAAAAACAAACATTCTTCTGCAAGATTTACCACCAAAGCAAATCTTTATTTTCTATATTTATTATCAGTTTATATTAGGGATGCACTATGTTATCGGCATGGTATCGGTCGATATTAGCGATAAAGTTAAATATTAGGCATTGGCCATTCCATCAAAATCACACCAATATAAAAGATGCTGTTTTTATATATTTATATATATGTATATATAATATATAAAAGGCACTGTTTTTATATGACTGTTCGAGTGTTGTCACTGTGTTAGAGAGAGTAAATGTCATGAATAAATTAAACATAATCCAAGTTGAAGTCTTACATCATCTTCAGCCCCCTTTTTGGCATCTGCGTTTGGTAGCAGGTCACATAGACAAAGACCATGAAGAATAATGTAGTATTTTAATTCCACAGCAGAGAAAGCTATGTAGTCTCTGTAAGTAGGTGTAGGGGGAAAAATATCGGTATTGGTATCGGTTATCGGCCAAATAAGTTTGAACATATTGGCATATCGGATATCAACCAAAAATCCAATATCGTGCATCCCTAGTTTATATTCTATCTGTTCATTTTATGGATCCATATCAACTGTAGTGATTTGTAAAAACACCTTTCCATAAAATGACCAGACTGCTGAATGTATTGGGACGCCTCACCTCAGCTTGCAGGACAGCAGCAGCCTGAACGGAGCTCACAGGGAATTCACGTTGTCACAAACACAAACATGAAGCACCGAGGGTGGAAATGGCTGCTTGTAAAAAACAGAGTGGCATTGCTTAGCTTGTGTGTGTGCGTGTGTGTGTGTGCGCACGCACGCGTGACTGCAGGTGTGTGTGATGATCAGCTGGGAAATAATCCCAAAATTAGATTTCCACAAAATAAAAATATAACTTGCTTTTTATATATGAATTCTGTGTTTCAGATGAAGTTATTAGTTTGTGTGACAGGTTTGCAACACTGGCTTCATGCCTTGCTGTTTAGGGTTGATTAATTCTGGAAAGGAAACGCTCCTTCCCCTCCTTTAATTTCTGTCTAAACTCCTCAAGTCCTGTTTGTTGAGCTCCTCTCCTCTGAGGTGTTCCCCTTGCTGAAATGTGTGTGTGCTGTCCTTGCTGACTGCAGCCGTGTGTGTCTCAACAGCACTCTGTTTCTGTTTTAGAGTTCCACTTAGAGAGGACTCCCCTTCTGACTTCACCCCACCCCCCTGAGCTCACAGGTCAGTCTGTCCCTCCTCTGGACTTTACAAGCAGCGTGTCATCAGTCTGCTACACCACATCACCTGATCACTTCTGGTTTACATGTCTGCCGATCCTCCTCGGCTTCAGTCCGAAGGCAGGATTGATGACAGTAATGGGGCAGGAGTGTTTGTGCTCAAGATATGCTACAAGTTTACCAAGATGTTTAATCTGGATCTTTACTTCTTCGCCTTCACAGCCATTCCTCTCACCGCTTATGGACCAATGGCAGCTGCGGCGGCGGCGGCAGCAGTCGTCAGAGGTATAAGCAGATTTAAAAAAGGCCTGAGATTAAATTAATTTACTGACATTTTCCTGTTAGTGTTATACGACGGAGCTTTAAGTTAAGAAAAAAAATTAAAAGCCATAACATTATGAGAATAAAGTCAAATAAAGTCGTACAAGACTTTTTGCAGCTCTCGTGGTTTTTTTTTTTTCTTCCACGAGTCGGATCCACGACGTGACCTGTCAATCAATCTAGTAGGCGTGTCAGAGAATGACCAATCCGAAACTAAACGAGTCGTAATATTATCCGAACTCCGACAGATGAAGCAGGTTTACTGCATTTTAACTGGTAAAATGAAGAATGTTGAGCATCTTGTTAAGTTATACTTTGGTACTGGTTTTACAAATAAGGAGATTGTTAATCTGTTAGCACATCTGGAACCTGCAAAAAAAAAAAGAAGTCTCACAACTTTATTCTCGTAATATTATGGCTTTTAATTATTGTTTTTTTAGCGTGGCCCTAAAGCTCCGTCGTGTTAATTATTGAGGAGGCTGATGGGTTTTTTTTCTGTCTAATGTCAAGACACTAAGACACTTTAGTGAAAATTGTAACGGTGTGGGTGAAAAAGATACACATGATTGGAGAAAATTGCTTTAGACCCTTAAAGGTTTGAAAATTTACATTTTAATGTGTTTCTGCCTTTATTGATGTAGTGGGTGCTCTGTTAGCAGTAAGAAATTTAGACTGCAGTTCTTTCTCTTCTTTCAGTTTAACTGAGCTCTGACGTCATGTGACAAGCTGCCATTTTGCAAATGTCTGTTCAGGACCAAAGCCAAACAGCATCATTTTTGCTTTCAGGCTCCACCCCATCCCGCGCAGCTGGATTTTTAGGTACGAGCAGCCCAGGTCCGATGGCGGACCTTTACGGAACCGCCGGCCAGGATTCGGCTGTGAGCAGTTACCTCAGCGCTGCGAGCCCTGCTCCAAGCACCGGGTTCAGCCATAGTCTGGGGGTGAGTTCCTACATCAGCTCTGCTGAATCCTTCACCAGCTGCTGGTCTTGTTTTTGGTGCATGAGCGCACGTTGAATCAGATGAGATGCTTCAAACTTAAATCTGCCTTCAGTTCTAGCGCTGAGTTTTTAACAGTGTGTGAACTAAACGCTGCCTGATGGAAACTTCACACGACTGTTTCACTTGTAAACATTTGTACTTATACCAGTGGTGTAGTCTACATTTTTGTAGTGGGTGTACTGTGCTTAGAAACCAAAGTACAGTAGTCCCTTGTTTATCACGGGGGATCCATACCCTGAAGACCCGCGATAAGTGAAAAACCGCGAAGTAGGAATA